AAAAAAAATATGGTATCTTTTTGGCCTCAGTAGAATAACACACAACCTTTGGTATGTATTTACCGATCCCATCCACTGATTTAGTAAGGAAATCTATATTATATTCTTGAAAAAAATTATACAACCATCTATCTCCCTTTGCAACTTAAATCTACAACTTCTTTCCGTAAATTATCAAAAGCCTATCTATCTGAAAGACCATATTATTCAATGAAAGAGTTTCTTAACGAACAACTAAGAAATTACAGTACGATTAGGTTCAAGCAACTAAAGTATTTTTTATATATATTTGGGTATCACATGCAGCAAATTAAACTTATTCGTAAACTAGTTCGTAAGGATTTATTATGCAATTTGCATTTTAGTCAAATTTTGCAATGGATGTATATTTTATTATCTTTTATTTTGCGATATTGACGATTTATGTAATTTTAGTAAATTTTTATTGTTATTGTTATTTTTTTTTTACTTTTTGTAAACTTTGTCCATAAAATTGTACAATTTTCAGTGACAATAAAGCATATTTCTAATTCTAATAGTGCATGAACTTGATTTAATTTCTTTTAATATCTGTAGTTATACCACACCAAGCAAACTAAAATATAAAAATTTATCGCGGATTGTTAACCTTTTTTAAAACTTATCAATCTATAAGTTTAAGTTTAAATTTTAATACAATGATAAACAAATTTTACCTGATCGGTATCAGAGAAAGTTTCAGGTAACAATCACTTTCCGAATTATTCATTTACATGTATCTATGGGTCCTCCTTATCTGTAATCCATAATCACTGTCATTGTTTGGACATTCTATTTGAAAATATTTTATGACAAGGTAAAATTATGTAGAAACAGACAAATGGGTATCGTTAAATATTCAAGTTTGTATTATGTATTTACTCTGGAGGGAAAATTATTCAAATTTTTAATGTTTTAATCTAAATTTCTTGAAAAATCCGAAGATTATAGATAATGAATAGATTGTATGGTTAGATATCAACTAAGAACGTTGAGGTCACAATAATTCCCAGGTGATATACAGTAATTATTTATTTTGATAATTCTTATTTGTGAGTTTTGGTCTGCTTAATAATATTCTTACATTTGCTACTTTTCTTCTTTGCTGCCTAATAATCATGACTTTAAGGTCCTTCTCTATATCGTTCATCCATCTTTTACGGGACCGTCTTCTTGTTCTTTGTTATTGAGATTTCAATCTGTGGATTACTTTTACAGTATAAATTTTATTTAGACATAACAATCTAGTCTATAAGACCAATAAACAAAATTTAATTCTAGTCTAACTTACTAACAGAATCTATTAAATACCAAGTTACACTCTTTAGCTTTTTTTGACATAAGGACTAACTGTATCATGACTGATATATATGGGGTTCTGCTCAATCTTTTTGTTGGTAAAATCTATATATGCTGATTTCAGTTCATTTAATGCAATACGCCATTTATTTGTCCACTTCTCTACGTCGGCAATTGCATTATGTAACTTATCTGTTGATTTAATTACGTTGTCACCCACAGCCATAATTGCCGTATCATCAGCAACCGTAGCTACATTTTGCTCTGAAAAGCAGCAGGTCTTTAGTGTCCCAGTACACTTCCTTGTGGTACCCCTGTAAAAATTTTCCCTAGTTTAGAATAAGCATCTTCCTGCTTAATCCTGAAGTATCTCTGTGACAAATATGAAATTAAGATCTTTGAGTATTGGACAGGAAGGACCATTTTTATCTTATGCTCCAATCCTTTCGTGCCAGACTTTGTCGAAGGCCTGTGCTACATCCAAAAATAATGCTGAGCAAAATCTTTTTTCTTTAAGTGATCTTTCAATCACGTCCGTGATCCGGAGGACTTCATCAATTGTAGAATGCTGATTTCGGAATCAGAATTGGTGATCGGGGATGATTCGTCTTTCTTCGATAATAGGCTTCAGCCTATTGAGCAAGAGATTTTTCGAATAGTTTTGACTTAATCGGTAGCAATGATATTGGCCGATACGATGTCATTTCATGTGACGGTTTGCTTGGTTTTGGAATTATGGTGATCTCAGCTACCTTCCATAGTTGTGGAACATAATTTAAACGAAAAGATGCGGTAATTAGATTGTTAAACTGAAGTTTAACCAGGGCCTTTCTAGGAAGCTTCTTAAAGACCTGCCCAGTTACCAGATCATAGCAGGGGCCTTTTTGGGATTAACGTTCGTGTCGATTTCATTTTTACCCTCTTTTAGTGTGGTTAAAGGAATAACTACATCATCTTGTCGGATAACTTCTGGAAGAGATTTATCTATGTCTACTAATATATGGTTGGAAAACACTTTCGAGATAGTTTGCAATGCTTTTTGTTCGTTGTTTTTCGCCCAACCTCATTGTTTATTTCTTATAATTTGTTGTTGGGTTTGCCTAATTGGTCTCTTTAAATTTCTTGGTGGTTTTAATAGTGAGTATTCAGTACTAGAATCAACTGTCAAATGTATCAGGAATTCGCTAATGGATTCATTCTTATACCTAATCTCTCTCTTTAGCCGTGAGGTAATTTGGTTTACTTTTGTTATGTCTTGTGATGCTCTGGTTAGTTGCCATTTTCTTCTTACTCTTCTTTTTTCATGGACTAAATAGTAGTTCAGGGGTATTTCCCAGACCGCATGTTGAATATCGGTATTGAATTTTTCCACCTCAACGTCCAAGTCTTCTTTAGTTTTCAGTGACACTACCAAATCAATTCTTTCTTTTAGTGTAATTCTAAAGCTGTCCCAGTCCATTGACTTTCAAGTTCTCTTATATTTGTATAGTTGTTCGATACGTCTTTAATTATGTAAAAGTCTATTACATCAGGAACTTTCATAGGATCTGTGATATTTCCTGTTGAGATTGCTTCACACTTATTCTCATTTATCGGAATTCTGTACCCTTTGTTGTTATGAGTCTTGAACCCCATTGTGTGTGTTTTGCGTTAAAATCTCCTCCCATGATGAACCGGTCATCCGCTAATTCAAAAAGTGTAGTATATCTTTGACCTTTGACTGAGCAGTTGACAGCTAACTGCCAGGTCATAGTTCTTGGTCCTAACGTGTACCACCGTTGCCTGAATATCTTCAGCTTTAAATTTGACTTCTTATGTTAAAGAAGATTTTTCTCTGGTTATAACTGCACTACTTTCAGTTGAATTAGTTTTAGGATGTATAATGTGGTAAAATTTGTATCCCTTAAATCTAATGATAAAGGTAAAGCGGTAGGGCCTGACGAGTTTTGTGCAGAATTCCTAAAACTTATGGATGAACAGGGAATAAAATGGATAACAACTGTATTCAACAACATATACGTAACTGGAAAAATACCCCAAAGCTGGTTAAAGTCGACCTTCGTGACCATACCAAAAAAAAGTAAATGCCAAGACATGCGAAGACTACAGAACAATAAGCCTAATGAGCCACCTACTTCAAACGTTCTTGAAAGTGATACACGGCAGAATATAATAAAAAATGCGAAGAACAAATATCATGGATGCAGTTTGGATTCCGCGATTCCTTAGACACCCGAGAAGCTCTATTCGCTGTCCAAGTGCTTGTGCAAAGATGCAGGATGTTAACTGTGATGTGTATACTTGTTTTATCGACTACAAAAAGGCATTTGATAGAGTAAAGCATGATAAACTTATAAACATCTTGAAAGAAGTGGGGTTAGATGATAGGGACTTGAGAATCATCTATAATTTATATTACAACCAAACAGCCAATATTAAAGTGGATGACCAATTGACAGACACAGCCTTCATAAATAGAGGAGTGAGGCAATGATGCATTCTGTCTAACAATGAGTGAGAACTACAAGAAGGCGTATTAGTCAACGGAATGCGTCTAAACAACATTAGATACGCCGACGACGTAGTAGTTTTGTAGATAGTCTGGACAGTTTGCAAAGAATAATGTTGCGTATATCAAATATAAGTAGAAAACACGGACTTGATCTTAATACGAAGAAAACAAAGTATATGGTAGTCAGTAAGCGCGAAATATTAAATACACAGCTTTTGGTTAACCAATATCCAATTGACAGAGTGGACAGCTACACATACCTTGGTACCAACATTAACAGCCAATGGGATCACTCCAGTGAAATAAAACAACGCATAGGAAAAGCAAGATCAGCGTTCATAATGATGAAATATCTTTGAGAAGTCACGATTTACCACTTGCTACCAAAATCTCTCTCATTAGATGCTATGTATTTTCTACGTTATTATACGGAGTAGAGACCTGGACACTTTCCTAAGCTTTTTAAGAAACTCGAGGCATTAGAGATGTGGTGTTACAGACGTATTTTAAGAATTTCATAGGTGGATCGTGTGACTTTTGTTGAGGTCCTACGTAGAATAGGCAAGGAATGCGAAATTAATAACACCATCAAAGAGCGCAAACTAAAATATATTGGCCATGTTCTGAGGAATGAACAGAGATACGGCTTGTTGCAACTCATTCTTCAGGGCAAGGTATTTGAAAAGAGAGGACCAGGGAGAAGAAGAATATCTTTGCTTCACAACCTGAGAAAGTGGTTTAATACATCGAACAACCGGACTATTCAGAATAGCAGCAAGCAAAGTTAGATAGCCATGTCGCCAACATCCGGAACGGATAGGCACCGTAAGAAGAAGAAAAAATCTAATGAATGATTGTTTAGTGAGGTGTGTTTCAGATATTAAATACACGTCAATATTGTTCATATCCATTGATAGTTGCACTTCTTGTTGTCTCTACATTAATCCGTTGATATTCCAACTCATTATTTTAATACCACTGGTCATTTTTATTTTCTTTTTTGGGATAGCTCCTGTATTGCCATATTTAGACGTATTTAACATATTCTTTTATTGACTGGAGTGAAACTTAATATCAATCTACAATATTATTTTTTTAATGCACATTTTTTTATGTTTAAAGATTGTTGTTCCTTTTAGGGTAGTTTACAATTTGACATTTATTTTTCCAGATCTTTAGCAGTGGGCAGCAGAACAGGTTATCGTCTTTACTCTCTCAGCGGTGTCGACACACTCGAACAAATATACAGCAATGGCACCGAGGACACGTGCCTTGTCGAAAGGCTGTTCAGCAGTAGTTTGGTCGCGGTGGTCTCTCTGGCTGCCCCCAGAAAGCTGAAGGTGTGCCATTTCAAGAAAGGGACGGAAATTTGTAATTATTCGTATTCCAACACTATTTTGGCCGTCAAACTTAACAGGTAAGTTACAAGTCAAATTATCTGTTACGAAAATGTGAGATATGGCAATGTCATTGAAGATATATTAAAGTTAATATCTACACCGCAAAGTTTGTTAATTGTGTATGGTACAGCTGGTACAGCTAACTTCCATGCGAAATGCATTGTACTGTGCACTGTATAATTCCACTTACAATAGAACTTTTCTGTCTTTACGTGAATTTTGACTCCGCCTTCGTGCAGTTCCATGGTCGGGACTGTTTGCATTATCTTTACAAACAAATAATAAAATAAACAAACAAACAACAGATAATTGATTACATATGTTAATTCATAAATTGTAATAATTATTAAGGTCTAAATTTTGATATTATTTTGAATTCCTGCATTTTATAAAGAGTATATAAATGATAATTTTTACATAAAACAGGATTTTTGTTATTATTTTTATGATTATTAAGGAATAAAACAAACGACCTATCTCAAAAATATATTAAAGCAAGAATTGTAACTAAATTAAGAGATATCTGGGCACTATCAAAGGCAGCAAAACATTTTAAACATAAGCAGAACCACAGTTATTCTATTAATAAAAAGAAATCGAGGGTCTGGAAGACCAAAACTATAATAAATTTAAGTAGGTAAAAATAAAATTAATATTTTGTAATATCTCCATCAGCATTGATAACAGCTTGAAGTTTTTGGTCCATCTGGGTGAAAACAACTATGAAATTGTCTTCTTCAAAGAGCTCTTCCCAAACCAATTGTATACTGTGCCACAGCTCTTTAGCATTTTGTTCATAACTGTTCTACACTGGGAAACATCATGTTTTCTAGAATATTCAGATAAGTCTGCCCAACAAACCTACCATCAATACGCCATACCATTCCCATTCCTCTAGACGAAATCCATCCCCACTAAAGTGACCAGCTGCTCGATATCTATCAACATATAGAGGATTAAATATATTATTATCTGGTCTATAAACCCCAATTTTGCCCTTTTTAAAAGATTGAAAAATGTTCTCATGTGCAAGTATTACCTAGTCCCAAAAATCTTGATTTTTTAGCTAATGATTTAAAGCAAATGAAAGTCTTGATTGCTTCTGTTGTGGTGTAAGACCTTATTTTTTGCTGCAGTTCGGTACGTAAGACGCGATGCTTTAATTCTGCGCCAAGTTGTCATTCTTCCCGGAAGAATTGCTTCTACTAACATAACTCTTGCATTTTTCTCATCTTCAAAGGATTCTCTTCTAATTCCTCCAAAAGCGTACGATATTTTTGGTGTTCCAGAACCTTGCTGTCTTTAGAGAGTTTCTTGTTCTCTCCATCTTTTATTACTATTAAAAAATGTTGTTCTGCTTACGTTAAAATGGTTCGCTACGGCAGGTAGTGACCAATCATCTTCTAATTTCGTTACAATTCTTGCTTTTGGTTCTAGCATGTGGAGCCATTTTTTGAGGTTAAACAGAATAAGTTATCCGACAAATTTTAATATTTGGCAGTGACAGTGACAGTATGTAATAATAAGTACACTGTGCGTCACGAAAAAGAGGCCACCTAGAATTTTGTAATAATTTTTCAATGACTTTGTTTATACAATTTATTCTATTGTAACTATTTCCCACAAAACGGTACCGACAGGTCAATTAGGGTAATAAGTTTGCAGAAATTGATATCAGTTTTACGACTTCGGATAATGCACGTGTTGTTTGTACCTTATTTTTCTTGGAATAATGCTATTCTGTTTTTCAAGAACCTTTCACTAGTGTACAGTTGTTCGAAGAGTAAACTAATGCAATTTTTAAATTAAAAACGATGGCTGAGAAATTTGCTAGATCTGTTCAAATTGTTACTTTGATTGGTAATGAAATGAGTCAACGAGAAGTGGCCAGACAGCTTGGAGTCAGTCATTGTATGGTCCAAAAATTTACCAACGAAAATTTACCAGAGAAGAACGTTCTTTACAACGCACTTATTTGCAAGATCGGTTCTTTACGGCTAGATCAATCAAAAACCATTTTCAAAATGCTCACGGGTGGACTTTAAGCACTTCTACAGTGAGAAGAAGATTGAGGAAATTTGGTCTAAGGGCTGGGTGTCCAACAACAGTACCTTTGTTAACAGCAGCACATCGACAACGACAACTACAGTTTGCTAGAGACCACGAGCATTGGACGATAGAAGATTGGAAAAATGTTTTGTTTAGTGATGAGTCCAGGATGGTTCTTTATGGCTCAGATGGTCGCATCAAAATATACAGAAGACGTGGGGAACGATATCCTGCTTGTGTTCGACGAGTACTTGTTGCTCTTGGAAGAGGTTTCGCTAATGTTTTGGGCAAGGCATTTCATTCGGGGCCGTATTGACCTCGTATTTATTGATAGAGGAGCGTTGAATGCACATCCATACGTTACCGAAATTCTAGACGAGCATGTATAGCCTTTTGCTGGATTTGTCGGCGAAAACTTTATTTTTATGCAAGACAACGCGCGGTTAGACGTAGCCAGGATGGTAACGCAATATCTGGAAAACTGTCGGTGTGCCAAAAATGAACTGGCCGGCTCAAAGTCCAGATTTGAACCCGATTTGGGACCAACTCAAACGAAGGGTAAGAAACAGAATACCTGTTCCAATAAATCGTGATCAGCTTCGGTTGGCGCTCATGGAAAAATGGGAAGATTTTCCTCAAAACGACATCCAGAATTTGATCAATTTAATGCCAAATGGAATGAGGAGTGTAATTCACAATAGAGGTGGTAATACACAGTATTAATAATCACGACTTAATTGTAATTTTATAAAGAAAACAGATAAAATGAACATTGTTAATCTTTTTTTTTTCAATAAAATCATTATTTTGGAAGAAGTTATTTTTTGACATTTGTTATTTAAAAAATGATTGCATACTGCTTTAGAAACATATTCTTAAACATTACACAAACATCTAATGATAATCACATTGTGGTATGATTCGTAAAAATTAAAAAATGGTAAAAATTTTAGGGGGACTCTTTCGTGACGCGTTGTGTATTTATCCTTCAACATACACTGCTCAATTTTCTATTTGATATACTGATATCCATATTTGTCTCTACCTTGCCATATTTGAACTTATAATGAAAATAATCTTTGTATATAGGCATTAACTAATTACGCTTTTTATTTCAGAGCTCGACTTGTAGTCTGTCTCGAAGAGAGTTTGTATATCCATAACATTAGAGATATGAAAGTTCTTCATACGATTAGGGATACACCTCCGAATCCTTTAGGTCTTTGTGCTTTAAGTATAACCTCTGATAACTGTTTTATAGCTTATCCGGGATCTTCGATTATCGGTGAAGTACAGATTTTCGATGCTATTAATTTGGTAGGTTTATTTTTTACTTATATATCAAGTAAAAGAGTAAGATGCAAAGAATAGAGTAATGCAAAAAATACGCTGTTTATTTAAAAAGTTTCGGTAATTTTCGTTATAGTTTGGATAAAATATTTCACTTTGGATAAAATATTTCATATTTTCTACCTGCAAGATACGAGTTTGGACGTTTTTTATAGAAAATATCTATTTTTTGCTGATAATAGGCCTTTTTTGACCTTTTGTGACATAAGTAATCAATTTAAAAAGCTTTTTGGAGAACTTCTAAATACTAATTATAGTCCATTTCCATCATATTGATAGCACATTATGTATGCAAATCCCTAAACTGTTGATACGGGTGACTAAATGAAAAATAGATATTTGTCAACAAGTTTACAGAAGTATATAGGAAATTAATTTTAAATTGAGTATGACCACCAGGTATAAAGGTTGAAGCAGAATAGAGTACAATAGTTTTGAGGATTACTAATCCCTAAATAAAGTTGCCAGTGTCGGAGTGATGGAGATTAACAGGTTCTAATGAATTTGCAAGAAATGTAAGATGTTTATTTTATTGGTTATATATAAAATAATTTGTGGCCGTAACAGGGGCCGATTTGTAAAAAAATGAATATTAATTTTAATCAAATTCCATTTCAGATTCACTGCTTTCTTTAGAATCTAAGGAATCTTCAACTCCAATGTTAATTATTACCGGTTCCAGCATTGCATCAGTCATATTATTCAAATTCCACATTTTATTTTCTTCCTTGTGAGCATGACTAACAGCATTTTTCCAATTTTCTGGAGTTACTTTTATAAGGAATGTTCTAATTATTGTTGTAAGTCTTCTAATTTAAAAGTTTTGTTGTTGCGTCTGACTTCACCCTTTACTTGAGACCATATATATATTTTCTATCGGATTCAGATCACAGTGGTATGGGGGTAAACGTAAAATAATTACATCACGGTTTAATGCCATTTCATCAATTATATATTTTTTATAAGCTGCTTTATGTTGCCTTACAATAGGTAATAATTCCTTTTTTGTCGAATTTTCCTTGTACTCAATTGCGTGTTTATCCAACCATTCGATTATCTCTCCTTTTTTCCATGCCGTTGTTAGCAATTTTTCTGCTAGTCTTGAATGGTAACTAGCATTATCCATGACTATGACAGAATTTTTTGGAATTAAATCCAACATTTGCTCAAAATATTCTTCAAAAACGTCAACAGTCATTTCCTCGTCGTAATCTTGGTTGATTTTGAGGCAAAACTTAATAATCCACCATTGACAAAACCGTATTCGTTTCCAATATGGGTTATTATGAGTCTGCGTCCTTTTTCAACGGGAATATTGTTTATTCCAGTAGATACACCTTCGATGAATGTCTGACGGGAACTTTTCGCATTTATATCAACCCGTAGATATGGTACAGTATGACCTTCATTTAGCCAAGTCTCGTCCAAATAAAAAATTGTTTTCCCTTCCTTCTCGGTACTTTCTAATAGTTCTTAGATAATCTCGTCTCCAACATACAATGTAATCTTTTTCAATTAAAACGGATTTTCTATCTATTACTTTGCCAACGAAATCCCATCTCTCTCAATAGTCCCCATAATTTATTGTTGCTTATGATTGGTAACTCTTCGTTTTCTCTAATTAATGATTGGATTTTGTCCAATATTGGAAATTCTTTGTTAAAAAAAAATGAGTGGACGCTGCGTCTTATCATGTTTTTATGTATTTCTCAATTTCCAAGGGTTTACTCCCTCCACTCTTCTTGGGAGATGAAACAGTTCCTCCTTTTCTTTCTTTTAGGAATCTATAAATTGTTGCTTCTCCATCCCCTGTCATATTTGAACACATGTAAACGATTTCACGAGGACTGTTGAGGATTTGCATACATAATGTGCTATCAATATGATGGAAAAGGACCATATAACCTTTCCAACAAGCTATTAATTATATACTTTAGAAAGGATCTACAATGTTACAACGGGTTCTTATTGTCTCATATTATTAATAGACACCCAAATATGAAAAAAACCGCGAAATGTTACTATTTGAAGAGGTCGTTTTTGGGAAAGGGGTAAATTAGTATCTATGCAGTAGGGTGCATTTAGGTGAATTCTATGCACTTTTCGTACATATACATCTATATATACAGAAAAGTTGTTCAAAATTAAATTCCCTATCGAAGTGTCAGTTTTTTAAAGAGAATTTTTGTTTTTTTAACAGAAATATATTCAAAAAACGAAACAAAAGGTAACCTTATAGGTACCTATTAGTCTTTGGCTTGGTTTTTTGAATATATTTTGTAAAAAAAATATTTTTGACTTTAAAAAGTGGCATTTTGTTAGGAAATTCAATTTTGAATAATTTTTCTGTAGATGAATATGTAGGAAAAGTGCCTAGAATTCACACAAACGCAGTGCGTAATGACTAATTTATCCCTTTCTCAAAAACTTACCCCTTTAACTGGTAGCACTACACGGTTTTTTTATATTTGGGAGTCCACAGGTTTTAGGCTCATGTTTAACTCCTTGCTGGAAGCCTTTCATGTTAAAAATGGCTATCATTCTCTTATTTTCGAAGATCTAAACGTAACCGTTCTGGTTTGAACACATTACCGCTTCAAAGGCTCCAAATCAATTTAAAAATAATTTTGGAGTAATTCTAAATACTTATTATAACCTTAATAATCAATTATATTATCTTTTTCTAAAAAAAAGTTAGTTTTGGTTGTGATATCGGGGTATAATCTTCAAACGACATTTCTACCCAAGCAACAGCCCAAGTTTTGGTGGTATGGGATCATTTCGTAGCTCTCAGTGATTCGTGAGACCCTTATGGGGTTTCTGGCATATGCTTAACTCAATGCTGGAAGCTTTTAATGTACTATTCATCAGACTAATGCCTCTATAATTTTCAGGATTTCTCAAGACTCCCTTTTTAAGTATCGATAGCAAACTTTCCTTCCATTCCGCTGGTACTACTCCGGTATATTATATCAACGAACAATTTTAGAAGCCATTTGCGTAGTGTTGTTTCTCCATATTGTTTTATCTTATCAGGACCAGGTGCTTTTCTGTTTTTTAATTTTTTTATTCGTTCTTGTAGCTCTTCTTCTTCTGATATTAGTACTCTATCGTGGTTTCGTTGATGATTATTTCCCTGTTCTCTTTCTGCTCCTTCTTCATATAATTTCGTGAAATGCTCAGTCCATTGTTCCTCCGTAATGTTATCCATGCGTACAAATTCATTCATTTCTGTTTTTTGTCTCCTTATCATCTTCCACTCATAAACACTAAAAACTAAAAAAATAGAAGAAACTTAACACAACAATTACTTCGAACCCAAAAGGAAGAAACCGTATGATAAAGAAGAACAAAACGATTTTATTTGTTCATGTAAAATTCTAAATTGTGCCCCTATCTCGATAACGTTTTGGTGTATATTTTGTAGCACGCGAAAACAATGATCCACGCCCACGACAGCCCTTTAGCTGCCTTGGCGTTCAGCCCGAATGGTACCCGTATAGCTACGGCGTCAGAGAAAGGAACTGTGATCCGAGTGTTTTCTGTAATAGACGCTTCAAAATTGTACGAATTCAGGAGAGGAGTGAAACGCTGCGTTGCCATATCGTGTATAGCGTTCAGTTTGTGCGGCCAATTCTTGAGCTGTAGCAGTAATACGGAAACTGTACATATATTTAAATTAGAAGAACCAAAGGATAGGTAAGAGAACTATCAATTGCTGTACTTAATATTAAACTACAGACTAAATTAATATACATTACGAAAATTGTTTTTTTTATATCTATATAATAAAATTTGAGATCATTCAGGTACTTAAACAGTTAACATTTTAATTTTCGAAAATTTCAAAGCTTTTTTGTGCTCATCTCTCATCACTGCTGTATGGAACAATAATTTTATGTATTTCTCGCATTTCGACCGCCATCGTTTTCTGTCCATGCATTCGTCTTCTTTGATGGCTCTATCTCTCATTATGTGCCTTAAATTTCCTTCCCAGGCAACTGAAGGCCTTCCCCTTGTTCTTCTTCTTTGTTGTGGTATATAATTTAAAGCTTTCTTTTGCCATCTATCGTCATTCATTCGCTTCACTTGACCATACCACACTAGTTGTCTGGTTTCAATTCTGTCTACACTGGAATATACACTATTTTTCCTCCTTCTAATATCTTCATTCCTAACATCATCTTTTTGGATACACCACACGCTCTCCTTAGAAAATCCATTTCTACTACTTCTATTATTTTTCTATCTTTTTTACGTGATCTGCCAAACGTCTGCCCCATAAGTTATAATAGGCTCTACCAAGGTTCGATAGATAGTCAATTTCGTTTCTTGTCTAATACTTACCATAGTAGAGAGTTTAGAATGTTTACCGTTTTTTCCCTGCTGCGTTCTGTTTTTGATGTCTCTTTTGGTAGTGCCTTCTTTAGATATTATAGATCCAAGATATTTATATTCATTGCATGTTTTTGTGTTTCTAATTTCTAACTCTGAATCTTCTTCATCATCTCCTATTTTAAGATACTCTGTCTTTGACATATTCATATTGAGGTCCCATTTTTCAAATTCTTTCTTTAGTTTTCTAAACATGTAATCCCTGTCTTTCTCATTATTCGCTACGACTACCTGATCATCTGTGAAAAATAAAATTGTTAGACATTTATCACCGCCTATGTCTATTTCCATTCCGGATACTTGTTTCCTTCACTGCTCTAGCGATGATTGAATATATATTTTAAATAAGGTTGGAGATAGACAATATCCTTGTTTAAGCCCCTTTGTTATTTGAAATAATTCAGATATAGAGTTTCCTTCTTTAACGACACTTTTTGTATATTTGTATATATTTGCGATAGCATCCACATACTCTCTAGTGAGACCTACTTTCGTCAATGTTTGAAACAGTTTTTTCAAAGCTACCGTATCGTATGCCTTCTCTGAATCTACAAACAATAGGTGGGTAGATTAGATTCCTTGCCTTCCATTTTTCGATTACCTGCTGCAGAACGAATATACCATCAGTGCACGATCTTCCTGCACGAAATCCATTTTGTTCTTCTATGTCTTCGTATTCTGATTCTATTCTTTCTTTTATTATTCGACCTTGCAACCTCCCCACTAAGCTGATAACAGTTATTCACCTATAATTAGAGCATTTGCGTTTATCCACTTTCTTGAATATTGAGCTGAGGAATCCAACATTCCAATCATCAGGGATATTTTATCCTTTTAAGCATTTGTTAAATAGTTGAACCAACATTTCATGTAATATTTTTGATCCATACTTTACCAACTCAATTGGGATGTCTCCAGGTACTGCTGTTTGACTGTTTTTCGATCTATTGAGGGCATCGCTTAACTATCTGGTTGTTATCTCAATTATTTGTGTATGTTCGGATATTTCTTCCATTTCGATCTCTTGAAATTTACATCTATCCTCTGTCAGTAAGAGCTCATAATGGTGTTTCCACTGTTTCAGATCTATTAACAGTAAGTTAGAGTTTTCCTTTTCTTCCCTCCGGAGAGACTTTATCACCTTCCACGCTTGCCCAACTCTTGTTCCACCCATATACCTATCCACCTCAGCACATCTTCGATCCCACATCTAATTTTTTACTTTTCACTAATTACTTCTCTTTTTACATCTCGATTTAATTTTTTATATATCGTGTAATCTTCATCTTTTCTCGTTACATCCATTTCTGATAAGCAGTTTTCTTCTTGTTGACTAACGTTTGCATATTTTCCGACCACCATTCTTGATTTTTTTTTCATGTTTGTCTTTATATACCTCAAAGCTTCACTTCCCGCTTCATGAATGTACTTTTTAAGTTGTTGGTATAATTCTTCCGCTGATACATTTTCTCGATCCACATTTTGTAATGTTGTGGCCAGTTGTAATTTGTAAAGAAATTTCGTTGAATCTTCTTTTCAACTTTATGTTTGATTGTTTATATTTTCAGTCCCAGACGGAGCGTAGAAGAAAGCAGTTGGATGGGATATTTGACGACTTACCTTCCCACACAAGTGACGGACGTTTTTACCCAAGGTAGAGCTTTCGCCACAGCGCACTTACCTTTCTACGGTGTCAAGAATGTGATTTCGATAGCAACGTAAGTAACTTTTAATAGATATCTCCATATTCCAAATAGTTTATCTTTCATTCCACTTCCTTTATAATTAAACATTTAAAATGTACCGTTATGCAAATAGCACGCAAGTAGTTCGACTTGTTTATTAATTTAACCTCAAAAATTGACAGTGTGACATCATACTGCCACAGAATAATAAACAATCAGAAGGGCCACTTTCAGATGCCGCCTTTGAAGTTTTCAGCACGCGCGCCATGTTTTAGGAGGACACAGACATATGATTTGTGTGGTTATGTAATTGTTTATATTTATGTTTAATTATATTATATTTATGTTATTATATTTAACAATGTTAATATAATTGTATAGTATGTCTATGATTGCCGTAAGACAAATAAACCTGGTTAATTTTTCCATGCACACCACATAAAAAACACTAATTTCTTTAAAATCCTCCTAAAACATGGCGGAACGTCTTCGCGGAGGAGATGCGCGTACTTAATTTTCCGTGGAGAGTGGGTATTCTGTTTGTTTATTATTCTGTGATACTGCTGTATAGCTGTATAGCCAGGGGCGTCTTCAAAAATTGTATCTCAAATGAAAAAAAATCAGTCATAATATTGTGCGAATAAATGTGAACCCAAGTAATAATTTGAAGTTAACAATATTTATTAGTTATAGACGAAGAAAAAAGAGTAAAATTTAAACTGTTTGGATAGAAATTATACCGGCATTTGCCTGTATAACGCTCTGTATAATTAAATAGATTATTTTCCTCTCCTTTGTCGTGAAAAATAGATAATTATGAGCTAGTAATTCGATTTGTTTCCCAATATAACCTCAAAAATTGACAGCGTGACGTCATTCTGCCGTATTTATAGCCAGGGCCGTCTCCAAAATATATTTTGAAAGTAATTTGCAGATAATTTGTTTTATTATTGTTCTGAAGCTATTTTCTTGTGGCATTTTAAATTAATTACTATTTAACTGGGAATAAGCCACAATTAAAGATAAAAATACGTTTATTGACGTTTCAATTTCCGAAGTGGAAATTGAAACGTCAATAAACGTATTTTTATCTTTAATTGTGGCTTATTCCCAGTTAAATAGTAATTAATTTGTTTTAATTTCGACTGAATTCAACCAGATATTTGTAGTGTGTAGATTTGCTTTGAAACAATTAGTTTCCTGCAGAAAAAAAATCTGAATTACTCAGTTCCTCGTTAAAATTGGAGATAGAAATAATAATTGCAATAAAAATTGGAAAAATAGCAAAAAAAAATATTACAACTGATCATTAAAGGCAAAATAGAGGGCCGTAGAGGTGTAGGAAGAAAACAAGTTTCTTGGTTAAAAAATATTCGTGAATGGACTCAGATATCAGATGCAGGACAATTATTCCATATTGTAGAAGATCGAGAAGCCATGGTGATGGCTAATGCGGATAATTCTGATATGGCACGCGAAGAAGAAGGACACCCAGTATGCACCAATGAATTCAGGGTGTAGCGTTTTTTTTTATTTAAAGTGTATAGAAAAGATTCTGTGGTACGTCCTGTTGTTTTTGCCAAGAAATCGATCGATTTAATATAACTACGGAGAAGTTAAATGTAAATAATTCAAGTTTTTTTTGACGAGATTTTTAAATGCGTATTAACGTTGGAAATATGTTTTTATCTCTGTGTTGCAATGTTAGGTAAAACAAACAGTTTTTTTGTCACCAAAGAGGTGTTATGTTACATGAATTCCCCTAATATTCCAGTTGACAAAAAGTTGTTTTTCGTTATTAGAATGAGAGTCAAAAAGAATATTTGTTTATTTAGGATACCAATTACTGGCGTCTAAAAACGCAATAAAGGAATATTTAAAAGGTTTTTTTGTCGATACGAGCGAGGGGATATTGTTTTGGTTCTTGAGTTTGTGGGGGACAGGTTAGCTGCAAGACGGAAGGGAAATTTTTGGCTAGATTCTGGTAAAATGTAACGAAGCAGAGGGAGTCGAGATTTAAGTTCCAAGCGGGGCAGACATGTGACAATAGAGTCGACTGAGAGATTTCAAACAGGACAGACGTATTAGTTATGTAGTTTGCAAAAGTCGACAAATTTTGTTAAATAAGTGGAACAATTACTCTCTGTAATATGACAGATTTAGAAAAGGGTAGCCACTAAATATTTAAAGGAGTTGTGCAGATACCAGAATATGGAAAATATTTAGAGCAGTATATAGGGTGTGCCCACTGTGTGCAATGGATTTGGTTCCAACCTCAATCTTATTTGTCTCTGGTCGTTTTTCCAGTCCAGTTTGAAGCAGTTCTTTTGTATAGTATGAGGTCCAGTAAATTCCCGTTAAATTCCCAGAAGTACCAGTGCAAAATTGTATGTGATTTGAATAAAGGTAACATTTTGTGTTAATAGTAAAATGGACATTTTTTTTAAATAACAATAATTGCTTTCATAACAAATTAAAACCATTTAAATTTTTGTAACAATGTTTGATGTGAAGTGAGACATGTAAGTTTTGTTTATTTTGTTTTATAGTATGTTTGTTTTGTAAACCATAATTTTGAAAACTGTTTGGTGAGACAAAAATAAATGTTTAATTTGTTTCTCTGATCTATTTTGAGTTTTATTTGAAAAAGATATTTTTTTCTATATTTTTTATGTTATACAATTATTTCCCTAGTTACAACTAGTGGTTGTAATAGGTATAATTGGGCACCTCAAGTGGCGCCCTATATTAAAATGCTTGAGGTGTTTCCGTTTATTTTCATTCTGTTTGTCCAATAGATTCGTATAAGTACCTTTTATTTCCTTTTTTTGTAGTTGCCCCAATCCAACCCCCAATATCTTCAACTTATCCACGACCCAGCTCTCCAACAACCAACTGAGTGTCGTATGCATTTGTTTCGATTATTTTGTTTGCCCAATCTTGTCCCCCCTATTCTTACCCTGTGGTAAGCAAAATAGTCGTTACAAGGGGAGAACTGTTTGTTATGCAAAGCTTAATGGTTTTATGTGGGGTTTCAGTTCTTTTGTAAATTTGTTGAATTCGGTAGTTACAGCTGTTTTTGTGAGCGATTTTAGGTTTTCTAGATGTAATTAATAAAATTAAAGGTCTCCTTTAAAGAACTACAAATATACGATAAATTGTAGGACAACTAACAAAAAATGCTTTCCTCGATAATTTTTTTTTCTAGGAATCTCATTTTCTGAAGACTTAACTAGTAGTGAATTTCCATGTGTTTGGATACAATAAAGTATATGTATATTCTTCGTCATTTTTTATAATGTGGTAAATTAGTACGCCAAGAATACTGAAATAAACCATTTTTTTCTATACAATTTACTTAAATTTTGGTTCTCTTTACGTTGTTATTTAAATTTAATACAGTGTGACAACTTCCTCCAATATATCATGGTATATTTATTGAAACGCGTCAACGAAGGCTGTAATTCGCGTCGGCGACAAATCGATGCGTGAAAATCGAAACAGCCACCACCTGCTACCTCCAGATCGGGACCAGACGCCGGGAGCAGCAACAAGTCCCAGAAGCGAGGGGTAAAGCTCGAAACGCGCTCACGCGAACGCATCCGTTCAGTGGATATCGAGTTTTTGAGTGGGAAAGGTCAAGATTTATTGGGGAGGGTAAGTGAGCCGAGTTACAAGTTGAAAGTTATAAAATTTTTATTATGGGGACTTGGAATTAAATATTCTCCTAAAAAGACAGAAAGTCGTCGTGTACAGTGTGTTGTGAAATTGTATAATAATGTCAAAAGAGAGAACATTTTGCCGGCAATATTTTCAAGTGGTATGAAAGTTTCATCATCATCGACTAGCCTCTAACGTACACTGCTGAACATAGGCCTCTCGCATGCTTTTCCACTTAGTCCGATTTTGCGCCATCTGAATCCAATTTGTAGTCACTCTTTTTATGTCATCTGTCCATCTCGTTGGGGGTCGACCTCTATTTCTGTTAGCTTGTATTCGGGGTCTCCATTCCAAAATTCTTTTTGTCCATCGGTCATCAACTGATCTTGCTACATGACCTGTCCAGTTCCACTTTAGTGTTGTTATCCTTTCAATAACGTCTGCTACTCCTGATCTTTTGCGTATAGTAGCATTGGTTATTCTATCACGTAGAGAAATCCTAACATTATTCTCTCCATTGCCCTTTCCGCAACTTGTAGTTTACTCACTGTTGTTCTTGTGAGTGTTAGGGTTTCTGCGCCGTAGGTCATCACTGGCAAAATACACTGATTAAATACTTTTCTTTTCAAGAAGTCAAGAAGTCTAGTTTTGATGTCAACCTATTAGTTATTATCTTTCATAAACAACTTATAAACGTGAGATAACAAGCTAATAGGTCTATAGTTCTTTAGCTCTGTTATATCTCCCTTTTTGTGCATGAACTACTATAACAGCTTTATTCCACTGAGATGGTGTAACCTCTTTTGAAAGGCATAAGTTATATAATTATGTCAATGCTTTCAATACTGTCTTTCTTCCTGCTTTAACTCCTCAATAACGATTTGGTCATCACCAGCTACTTTATTGTTTTTCATTCGATTTAATGACTTTGAGGCTTCTTCGATTGTTATTTCTGGGATATCCTCTGAACGTACATTCTGTACTTTTTTCAACTTGGTGCCGTCTTTCTTACCCCTTTCTCTATATAATTCTGTGTAAAATTCTTCAACTACCTTCATCATCATCAATGGTGCTACAGCCCTATGAAAAAGCCTCGACCTTCCCAAGTCTATTACGCCAGGCAGTCCTATCCATTGCCAACCGTTGCCAGTTTGCTGCGCCTATCTTTCTACCATCCTCATCTACACCATCCTTCCATCAGACTTTGGCCTACCCCTTTTTCTACTTCCCACGGGTTGTGACATAAGGATTCTTCTAGGAGGGTTGTTCTGCTGTGATCTTGCTTCAACTACCTTAATTATCTTATATTTATCTTTTACCACTTTTCCATTTCGATCTGTGAGCGTTGAACATTATTTTTCTTACCTAGAGCTTGACATCTCTTCAGCACCTTTAAACTTTTATTTTTCTCGACAACCGTTGTAATCTTTTTTGTGTTATATTGTCGTACGTCCTTTCTCACTGCTTTATTAATATCTTTAATAAGTTGTTGTAGTAGGCGTGCATTCGTATCGTTTTTGTTCTTAAGTTCTCTTCGTGTCTCCATAAGTCTTTTTGTCTCTTGACTTGAAGATCGATGAGAATGGTATGTTATTTTATGCTTTTTGTATCTATTCCAATTTTTTAAGCTGACATTTTTATCCACTTAGATACGGTGTTGATTCCAATTGGACAGTTATTGAACCAAGATCCATCATTCGTTTGATGAATTTCTTACCAGCCATTTGCTGCTTGCCAAACTTATTGAACCGCCTTGATTTGTTTTGGAAAAATGCTGTTGTATTTAATTCGGCCCGTAAATTCTCCCATAACATCAAATTCCTTTTGGAAAAAGTGAATCTTGCAGTTTACTGGCCTCATTGCCTCTTCAAGCAAGATCAAATGAGCAAAGGTGAAAAAGCTTTTTTGTGCTTCATCGGGGGTTTCCTTCGTGAAACCCGACTTCGAGAAATGTGGCGTTGCTAAAATTAGTTTTTTCTTGAAACTTCTAGAAATATGGTTTATTTTTTATGTCTTCTTTGTCCCACCAACTCTATTGAACTTAATAACTATAAAATCAGATTGAACTTTGTACATGTCCAATTTGACCTTGAAGCTACTTAATGAATTTATTGTTGGTGTAAAGCGGTTTTTATTTGTTCACACCATATATTTTGACAAATGACAATTCACGGATGGTTGTGACTCTGGCTAAATTTGGCGCTAAATCGTGCTAAGGTAATGCAGATCCACTGCTTACCGACGATGGCGCCTGGCCTGTCTGGCACGGGTGGCCCTTACTCTGCTCTGGCCGGTCAAGCTTAAATCTCGAACATTTAATTGGATATTCAAATTGTTTTTAATGGATTTTTCCACCTTCTCTTTATTTTTTTTTATCTTTTATTTTAAGTAATACTTATATTATTACGGTGTTTCTTCAATTGTCAGTTTCTAATCGATACAGGTTTTCATTCGTTCTTTTAATTTCTTTCTTTAGTTGTTCGTTTTCTTTGGTAATCACTTTATTTCTCTCATTTTTTGCCAGAGCTTTGTAATGAATTCTTCATTTGTTGCGTTTGATTTTCAAGTATTTTTGTTTGTTCCTACTTATTCGTCATTCCGAACCTGTGTTCTGTTTATATTCAATAACAGTTTGCCACCAGAGCGGCATGACCACACAACCCATGGACATATACGTCCATGGCACAAGCAAATCACAGAATAAGAAACAGCCATAATGTTAACGCATAAATGCCTCCATAGACAGAGTTGTATTGTGATAAATATTGTTTCGTGTTTCTGTCAGTTTAGAGAGTTAAGTAAAGCACGTGGTTTAACTAACAATATTTAACTCAAAAACACGTAATTACAAATATTACAATTACTAATCACATTAATGATTATCGCTTACAAAACAATTTGTACTGATACGTATTATCGCCAATATTAATAATAATCAAAGGCCGCTTCTACTGGCTTACATAAGGAGAATTAAATGTTCTGGAAAACCGCTTACCGGGCGACGAGAACATCTTGGCATTGATAGAAACAGTGCGTGGAATATTTTCGGCGACAAAGAGAGAATTCTAGACATTTTTTATGATTTTCGCGATATAAAGCTTTTACAAAGTCAATAAATGAATGTATGTTCATTTTTAGAATCCAGCAGCAGCTGAGACTGCTAGTAGCGACGGAAGACGGTACTCTGTACGTCTACAACATCGATCCCAGCGAAGGAGGCGACCTGATTCTGTACAAGGAGCACCGATTGGACGGCACCCCGGAGAACCCAGGCAAATCCTCTGACAAAACTGACAGAGGAAAAACATCGTCGCCGCAAAACATCGACGGAGGTAAACAATTTTCATAGCTTTAAAACGCGCCTCTTATACTGGATTTTCAACAGATTTTTGAGTCTTGCTAAAGCATACTGGCATGAATAGTGCACGGGAACTGTCAATAGTTTTTCGTGTGCTACTTAAACGATGCCTACAACTTCCCTTACATCCTTCTGTCCTTTATAATTAATATTAATTTTTTATTGCATGTATATAGCTTCCTGTAAGATCCCAGTGATGTAATAATTGTCTCAAGTTTGGTAAATATTAGCATTATTTCGTTTTGTTTTTGTATTGTCTTGAGCTTCACGTGTTTGTTAAACAAAAAATTGCAACTTTATATTAAATTGTATAAACTCAAGCGCTTTTTAGGTTGTTCAAAAAACTGAAACGTTGTATTGATGGTGGTATTGCACATATGGCACGTGATGGAAATAAAATAATGTGATACACGTGATCTACCTCCAAAATGTAGGAAACTATGTTTTAGGTATTAGAAACAGCCGAGACAAACGTTTAATAGATTTTGCAACCGAAAACAGTTTGGCCATTGTAAACACAATGTTCAAACATCATGGCCGTCGTTTTTCGACGTGTACCAGCCCAAATAGAGAATACGAGAACCAAATCGACTACATATTGATTAGATACAGATGGAGGACATGTTTTACAAACGTAAAACCTAGACCAAGAGCTGAATGTGGATTCGATCATAAATTGTTTTGGGCCTGCTTCAAGATGAAGCTAAAAAGAACAATGCCGCAAGAAAATCAAAACAGGCTGGAGATTTCAAATCCGAAAACATTTAGAAATGCATTAAAGCAAACTAGTATGTTGAACACACAAGACAACCCAGAAGAAATGTGGAAAGGTTTCAGAAATGCCATAGAAACCTCTGTCGAAAGAACCAGAACCGAAAAAAAGATTATCAAGAGAAAACACTGGATGACAGACAGAACGCTGCAACTTTTCGAAGAGCGAAGGAGAATCAAATCTCTCATATATCAAAACGACAGCAACAAAAACGAATTAGCAAGGTTAAATAGAGAAATTAAAGAGATGTATGGATGATAAAAATAAACATATAAATGAAGAATGAAATACCTAGAGAGATATGCAAACCGAATGAATCCCATGAACTATATAACAAAGTCGGATATCTATGCAGGAAATTTAAACCAATCACACAAACGATAATGGATAAGGAGAAATATTGTCAAAGTCTATATGCAGATGATCCCCAGAATGCAAATCACGACGAGTTCACTGCAAAGAGAGAACCAAACATCCTAAAGTCAGAGGTAGAAAAAGCAATCAAAAAGTTAAAAAATAGAAAATCTCCTGGCGCAAACCAGATCACCGCAGAAGTTTTAAAAGAGACTGGAGATGTTGGAGTAAATGCTATGCATATGATCTGCAAAAAGATTTGAGAAACGGGAGAGTGACCCAACGACTGGACAACATTCACTTTCATTCCTATATTCAAAAAAGGAACTCCGCTAGATTGCAGCAACTACAGAACGGTAACCCTAATATCGAAAGAATCACCAGAGTATAAGTCTATCAACAGTAAAGTTAAAAGAGCATAAGGTCAGACTTGCGAGCCTATCAAACAAAACATTTATAGCCTTTTATAGCATCATCGAGTGTTCCATCTTGGGTTATCTTCATACCAAGGTCTTCTTCCTTCTTCTTCTTTGTTTAGCCATTCACGTCCACATCTGAACATGGTCTGTATGGTCTCCAGGTTAAAACCATACCCAGGTACTTGTATTCATACATTGTCTAATTTCTACCACCATCGTCTAATATAATGGACTGCTTTGTCCCTACAATACACATGGCTTCAGTTTTCTTAATGTTGACTTCGAGACCCCATTTGTTATATTCTTCTATTAGCTTCCGAGTCATGTAACTCAAGTCGTCATGATCCTGAGCAATCAGTATTTGGTCATCAGCGAATCATAAGGTGTACAGTGTAGTCTCGTCATTGAGAGGGATTCCCATGCCATTACATTTTCTTTTTCACAGCTTGAGTGCTTGTTCCAGATAAATTTTGAAAGGGTAGGCGAAATACAGCAACCCTGCTTTAGTCCTTTCGTGACCTTAAATCCCTCAGATATCCTTGATCCAGTTTTAATTTTTGCAGTCGTTCCATTATACAGACTTTGGACTGCTTTGATAAGACCATGCTTAATGTTGGTTTGCTGTAGGGTTGACCATAGTTTACTGAGGGGTACACTGTCATAAGCTTTTTGTAAGTCTACGTACACCAGGTGAACTTCTGTATTGACGGCTGTTTTTTTTCTCAATAACTTGCGTAATAGAGTACAAGTGGTCTACTTTGGATCGGCTCTAAAACCAGCTTGCACCTCTGCTTCATAATCTCTATAGTCATTTTCTATTTTGTTCTTAATAAGTTTCCCATACATCCTACTTATTGTGCTGTTTACCGCAATTCCTCTGTAATTTTCACACTGATCCTTGCTGCCCTTTTTGTGGATAGTTGACATGATAGATAATTTCCATTCTTTTGGTAATTCGGTCCCATTCAAGCAGTCTTGAAAGAGTTTTCTTAACTGTTCCTGGAGTTTATCTGTACCGGCGTTCACTAATTCTGCAGGATGTCACCAGACCAGGATTTTCCATTTTCAAGGATTTGGTCATTTCTTCCATCTCTGATTTACTTAAAGGATAGATTGCTTAAAAAAAATACAACAGAGATATTTGCAGTATTTTGGAGACATTGAAGAACAGGTACGACTGATAGTCGAGGGTAGAGTTGAAGGAAAGAGACCTAGGTGAACATCTCCAAAGGGTAGATCAAACAAAAATATTGATTAACCAAAGGTTACATGAAGCCGAACAACTAGCCCAGGACAGGAAAGGATGGAGGGAAATCGTAAAAAAACTGTAAAGGCCTAATGGTGTCACCACACCCCAAAAGGGATTGGGACTGAGGAGGAGGAGGATACACGTGATGATTTATTGCAGATAAAATATACAACATACTAGAACAACTCATGGTGTGAAGCATAAATTTTTTTGCATAAATCGTTCAAAAATATCACTACAAATGATAATTTCACTATGCGTGAGGTATAAAATATGAGCTTTACTTTTTATTAAAAAAAATATAATAATATGTAAAAAATCGATATTTTTACTCAATTTTTCGCATATATTTCAAGAACTATTGGTTTTAGAACAATTTTGTATGAGATAAAGTTTTATAATTGAATTTTACATATGATAATGCTAGTTTCAAACTTTAAAAATTATTATTAATGAAAAAAAATAATAAAAACACTAAAAAAGAGTAAAAAAAAGTTTTTTGTGAGTACCCCTACTTAGGACCTTCAGACGAAAAAAAATTTTTTAATATGTTTAATCAACACACAAAATTTCATTGAAATCCATTTAATAGTTTTTTCAAAATAATTTTGCAGTCTAAATTAAAAGAAAATTAATAATTTTCAAAATTATGCAGCTTAAAAACTAAAACTTCTAGATTCGAAAAGAAAAAAAATTATTAAGACAAAAATTTAATAAAAAAATAAGTAAGAATCAATTTAAAAGCACGATTTGTACTTTATCTCATATATAATTCTGTATATTAGCGTTTGTGTTTATACAATTTGATCGATAACCAAAAGCAACGGTTTTCAGTTTGTTGAACTTTGTCCTAACGGTTTGAAAAGATTTCAAAATTGTGAAAATTCAGATTTGCATAACGTTTAATTTAAGCTTAGCATCCAACCGTCCCTCTACTAATCTAACATCCCGAAGAACACCCCCGTAGTAAGCTGTTACCTCATTCCTTCATTATGATTTTCTCTGTTCTGCGCAAGGCATACTAGGTAGCTACGCTGGCATCGTCAAAGGCAATCCATCCGGCCAAATGTCAGGTACTGGTCAGTATAAAATTACAACTAATACTTTTTTCTTATTACCTATCATTTTCTTTCCATTTGCTAACTCGAGGAGGTTTAATATAACCGAAAGCAGTCAATAATTTTGGTCTAGAGTATGTGAAGTATGCGTTTTTATGCAAATGGGCTTTTATGCTCCGGTTTCTGTTCGTAAAGTTTCTACCTGTTTGTCCCAAGTAAATTTTTGGATATCTAAAATTTAATTCTAAATTCCGTTTTGTCAACACTTCTTTTTTATTTGTTATTATTTTCTATATGTGCTTAGGGTTTTATTCGTATAGTGTACGAATAACATCAGTTTTTCATAACAATCAAAAATGTAACCGGACGTATACTAAATAATATTAGAAATAGTAAGAAATGTTTCCAAAACGGAGTGTACATATCAACTAGTCAAGTTTGTAAAAAAGTTACATTGGACAAACAGGAAAAACTTTTAAAACACGTATGCTGAAGCACAAAAGTTAATTGATCGGGTGTCTGGTACCTGATTTGATGTCTAGCTGCCATCTAAGACGGTGCAATGTGAATTAGTGCTGTCAAAAAAGATTTCGCTGAAGCACCACTAAGAACGCCGTCAACAAGAGCTACTTTTAGTTGGTCAAGCAGTAGGAAAATTTAGACATGGCTTGCATTAATCTGAAACTGCAAGCAAAAGCCATTTTTGATCGAGTAAGGTCAAAAATGTACGAAACTTAATATTTTTCGGACTTCAGATGGTTTTTTTAAAAACTTCGACGACAGCTACGGTTAGAGCCTCTCTATGGACTGGTTATGATAATATTGAATATAGCTGCCATTTAAAAAGATCTGAAAGTATGTGTGTTTATTATTCCCGTATTTTTTTAAATGTTAGTAGAAACTAAAGATCAAAATTATTGACTGACATTCGAAACAGATTCAAATTTGTGTATAAATGTATACTAAGTAAGAAAAAACGTACTTTTTTCATCACATTTCATCTTATATACAACTCTAACTATTGAGGGCAAGACTTTTTTATATACATATGATATAAGTGCCTTATATTTGACCCATTTTACATATTTTTTATTTGGATTGTTTATGAAATATGTAGTGTTACACTATGGTTCTCTTTTCTCGATTACTTGAAAGCTAGAATTTAACATTTATTTAAAAACTTTGATTTTGTAAACTTAAAAACATGTATCAGCTTTAAATTTGAAAAAAAAATTAATGCAGTTTTTCTTTTTGTTATTTATGTGGTATAATTTTGTTTTATCTAATTGTTGTTGTATTGTTGGTGAAATATAGAAAATACCATCTTTTTTTAATGAATTCTAATCGTTTTCGACCAAATATCTATTAAGTTCAGTCAATGGTTTCAAATTATACACATTTGGAATTTTATTTCCGGAACATAGGATTTTTAATACAATTAATAAAATTCCTGTTTTGCAATTAACCAGTGTAAATTTCTATATAACGTCGCGATGTTTTAAAACTAATTTATTTGTTCCACTGGATTACCTCTCCTCGGCGGTTTGTAGTAGCGTATGTGGCACGCAGACAGTGTTGCTCCGTCTACCAATTTTTCCTGAAAGTCCGGTTTTGTGCAGATAATAAATAATGTTTTATTAACATCAATTTTGTTTGTGTTCATTAGGTATTATTTGAATTATAAAATTTATACTTAAATACATTTATTATTCCAAATATTGTTTATAATTTCAAATTAAAAAGAGTGTAATATTATTATTTTATTTTTAAAATATCATTTATTATTTTTAATTTTAGAAATCTACATTTTTTCAAGCCGTTTTGGCAATAAAACATAACCATTATTTTTAGTTATAAAATATTTTTAATTCCATATCTACATTTATAAATAAGTACGTTTTCGTTGAATTGACATGCAATCTAGGTGTGTTCCGTTTTTACACTTACACTGGCAGCATCGCGGCGTGAATTGAGACTCCAGTCGAACAAATGAATTAATTATAAAACATCGCGACGTTGTATTGAAATTTACACTGGTTAATTGCACATCAAAGGATCAGAGATATTGTATTAAAAATCCTATGTTCCGTAATTTTTTTTTCAATCTGTATATGTCCTTATGTATGATTTTTAATTTGTTAATATTCCGTATGTAAATGCAGTAGCCACGTCCAAATCCTAGTTTTAATTTCTTTGTTGGTGTAGTAGTCACCGCCACATGGACGTGACTACTATGGAACTACATCGTCGTCAATTCAACCGAATTTGACCATTTTGTGCTTCATAATTAAAACTTCGATGGAACTTCAACTTGAAAGCTGACATTTTATTGTGTCAACACATTTTTAAGCGCAATTCCAATGTTATTTCCATACCTGATTTTAATTACATATTGTATTAGGTGTATTAGTCACGCCCAAGCTTTCTGGGCGTGGCTACTACACCTACAGACGTAAGTTCAAATCAGTTTACTATTTAGATTTTTGTTATTAAGGCAAAAAATTATGTCAAAACTATCAAATAATGTTGGAACTATATTTAATATGAAACTGACACTAATTTTCTCAACAAAATTTCTAAGTACAGCCCAAACAATTAAGTTCGAAGGGTAAATTAAACCGTGACAGATGCTCCTATATACGGACTGATAAAAAAACAAAATTATACATTAAAATAACGACAGAAGTTTACAAACGCACTAGTATGCAACACCCAGTATGCATTTATTACCCGTAATTAACTTATACTAACATATATGTGTTTTATGTGACTTAAAGATGCATCATACATTCTGAAAGATACCTACATACTTCGTAAACGAATCCTAAACAACTGTTTGTAAACCACTAGTTTGAACAATGTTCAAAAGTGAATATATTTAAAAATTTACTTGAAAAACTCATACTAAGCGTACTCTATTATATTTTAGCTTTAAAATTCTTTCTTATTATTACTATAGCAAGATAAATATTGATAATATAATTTTTGTTTTCCAACCCATATATAGCATCAGGTTGTACACCAGGTTTTGACCATTCTATATTTGTCTTAATATTTTTATAAATTTGATATTTTAAATTACTTATGAAAAGAAAAAATATAATAGAGGTACCAATAAAGTGAAATACATATTTGTAAAAAATCATTTTTTCAATAGCAGATTTTAAATAACTCATTTCGGATCACTTAACAATTTTTCCTGTTATGTTTTTGGTTGTTCTAGAATATTTTTAAAATTTTTGCGTTGATTATATATGATAATAGTATTAAAACGTAGGTATCATAATTTTTGGAACAACTACTATCAGACTTACACAGTTCTCGAGTCAAATCTCAATTTAAGCTGCGCCGCACTTTCGACTAATTTGTGGAGTCATCTTCTGGATTGGTATTCTCCAAGACAATATAAAGAAGACAGTTCCCTCGGACCAAAACCAAGTGATGAAGATGACTCCACTAAGGAAGTCGAAAGTTTGCACAGTCAAAGATATGAGTATTGGAGTCAAAAAATTCATGTATAGGAAAAACAAAAGTAATACAACAAGCGATGGAAGTTAAATGAAGTCGTAGAAAAGAAAAAAAGAATGTTAATAAGTGAACAGTGAAGCTAAAAAAGTTTTGGAGATAGTGGAAATATGATTTTAATGGAGAGAAGCTGAGCAAATAGCAATATTAATAAGAATTGAAGAAAAGGCATGAAAGATGATTAATAAGTAAACAGTACAGAAAAAAATATTATGGAAGCAGTAAAAATAGAGTTTAATGAAGAAAGATTGAGAAAATACAAACATTCATAAGAATTGAAAAAATTTGAAACAATATCTATCATTAAAGACAGACGATACCCCGGAACAAAATCAAGCCTTGAAAATGACTTCAAAGGAAAGACTAGAAGATCTTTTTTCATCCAGAGATGGCCCAATTCTAAAATATATATCATTTCAATGATAACGGACATTGAAGACTCACTATTTAAGAATATGATAAAAATATTTTTAATACACTTTTTACTTGTAAATCCGGTTCGAAGGACCATAAAATGTATGAAATGTATGAAACTCTCAAAAACTTCTATTAGGAACATACACATTTGGAATCTGATGCAATTGGACGATATGAGACGTTTATTTTTGAAATTTCTGTACTTTTGACTACAAAGAGGAACCTATTTCTCAAATTTCAAGACACTAGGATTTTTTTAAAGATTTATCATAAAGATAAAAATATAGACAGAAAAGCGATTTCAAGATCGACATGTGTAGTTCTGAATGAATCGTGAAGGGAATCTTGTTCTTGAAGACAGCAACACACCGAAAATCTCAAATATCTTCAATAATCTAACTAAACTAATTCAATGTTTAGTCAAACCACGTACGAAATCTTTATCCTTAAAATAATTGTTTTATTAGGTAAATTTCCATTTTGTTTCAGCTCTACTGATTTTTTCCTTGGTACTGTAGTGTCAACCTTTAACCAGTCTTTCAATTGGTGTAAATGTACGATATTTTTGTTATAGATATGACCTATCTTAACTGGATCCTGTTTAGATTGGTGGAACTGACCGGTCTGTTCCCAACGTTGCGAAGAAGATATTGAAGTCTCGAATCGTCGAGGAATGGAAGCATTGTACGTGTTCGCATCTTTTCTATCGAAAGAAAAGATCACCAAGCCGAGATCAATTGATCGAGAAGGTATAAAAATATCAAAGAAAATCAAAAAATAAACCAAAACAAGGAAAAAGTTACCTTGTGACTTATTCTTTTTTTTTTCAAGAGGATTTTATTTTAGTAATAAGTTAATTATTGAAGATTTATACTGAATTCTAGGATAGTTTGTTTTTGCAACCACTATATGTCGTGCAAGAATGAAGATAAAGGTCGACATCTATCATGATGTATGGAAAGTTAAGAAGAATGTAATGTTTTTTACTTGATTACGTTGTGCATTATGAAAAAAGTATCATTTGTTGTTCAGTTTCAATTACAAAGATGTCACACCAACTTTAAAATCTTTTAAAATATATTTTTGAGTTATATGGTGAAAGAAACTACTTCAGCTTTTCGGATTTTCTAAAAAATTAAGTTGTATAAGTAAATGAGAGACTTGGGGGTCATTTGACAGTTACAAATTATATTATAAATACATTATATATCCAAGAACCATGCAGAGAATGGTGTAAAAAATGTTCAACTAATCATCAGAAATAAAAAGTGAAGGGTATAGAGCTCCAATCCATTTTTGTACTCATCTGGCTTCGTTAAGCATTAAGTTTTAAAACACAGACAGTGAAGACTGTCAGGAATTACTGACAGTTTTCAGAGGAATTTGCAACTAGTATTTGACATTAACAGTTGACTTTGACAGTTGACTTTGCCGTTTACATTTGTCAGTTACTAGTTTCTTCTTCTTCGGCCTGTATTCGTCCACTGCTAGACATAGGCCTCTTCCATTGATTTCTACTCTTGGCAATTCTCATCCACTGCTTGCCCGCGACTTGTTTAATATCATTTGCTCACCTCTTCTGTCATCTGCCTACTCCTCACCTGTTTTCTCTTGGTCTCCAGTTTGTTAATTTCTGTGTCCATCTTTCGGGATTATCTCGGGCAACATGTCCGACTCATTGCCACTTGAGCCTTGCTATACGTTCTGCGACATCAGTAATCTTTGTTCTTTCCTGAATGTCGTTATTTGGAATCCTGTCTCTCAAACTAATTACTAGCATGGTCATCTCCATTGCTCTTTGGGTTGGACTGAGCTGCTCTGAGCTGTAAAGGCCATGGTTTCCAATCTATATGTACTTACAGACAAGATATATTTGTCATAAACTCTACGTTTTACACACATTGGTATATCTTTATTCTTCAAGATAAAGCCTAACTTGTCGAAAGCTACCCAAGACAATTGTATGCGTCTTTTTATCCCGGCTATTTGGTTTTCGTTGCCGATTTTCATGGTATGTCCAAGATATATATATATATATATATATATATATATATATATATAATATATATATATATATATATATATATATATATATATATAGTAGTCTACATTTTCAAGACTAACGTTGTCAATAACAATATTAGTTTGTAATTTACTCATTATTTTTGTTTTCTGAAGGTTCATTTTAAGACCTATTTTATTTGACTGCTAATTTAATTCCTCGAGCATTTATTCCACTTCCTTGATATCTGTACTAAATACTACTAAGTCGTCAGCAAACCTCAATTGACTCAGACGTACACCATCAATGTTTAGACCTTTTTGCTCCCAGTCGAGCTGTTTGAATAAATTTTCCAATACTAAGGTAAAAAGCTTTGGTGAAAGAGTATCACCTTGTCTAATACCTTTACCAAGACGCATTTTTTCAGTTTTTTCGTCTTCATTGCTTTTGATGTAGAATGTGGCCTGTTCAAAAATGTTTTTAATAAGTGTAGTGTACCCTGAGTCTATTCCAGCATCTAGCATCCATGCATCCAGCATATCGGAAGCCTTGTGAAAGTCAATAAATGCCATATGTAGAAGTACATTATATTCTGTGGTTTTTTCTACCAGTGTTATGATGGTTTGTGTGATCGTTAGTACCAAACTCTTTTCTAAATCTCGCCTTTTGAACCGGTTGATATAAATCAAGTTTTTGTGTTATCTGGTTGTTAGTTTCATCATCAACAAATTGTGTTATAAATATGTCATATATTCAAGGAGTATCCAAAGAATGCTGTACCACATGCTTAATAATATACCAGAAACTTAAGGTGAAGGATACAGAGGAAAAATGAATGACAATCTTTTTTTGCACTCATCCGGCTTCCTTGGGCATCAAGTTTTATAAGTTAGGAAGAAATTTACATCTTTAATATGACAATAATTGTCATTGTTGACATTTACGTTTGACAGTTTGTATTGACACATGTTCTGTCAGTTGCTTTTGCTTATAGACTTATTCTCCCTCTGAAATATGTCGGGAATATTAATGAAACAATTAAAATATTTAAAAATTACAAAAAACATTCTAATGCCACCTCGAAATAGATCCTCCTTGGTCTATTAGCTCCGTCACAAATATGTATTAAAAAGCTTTTAAAGATTGGTATAGAAAATGCTCAAGAACAGACTAGAAATGGAAGATAAAGGATGTAGAACAAAAATGAACGACAAAATCATCGTGACCTTCAACAAAAATGTATTTATCCTACTTATGATTTGTTTCTTACTTTTAGAATAAGTTTTTCTATGTTTCCTAGTATAAGTAGTAGTTTGGAACAAATATTGATAATTTTTTGTACGATTATTGCACCTTTGTCAAGTTTATTTTCCAAAAACTACACAATAAAGATATTTTTTCGAGTACTTAATTCTAGAATAACAAAATTTAAAAATATCCTGAGAACAACCAACCGTGCATGCCATAGAGATTAGTTACAAAACCAATTCATGGCCTTTGTTTTAATTAGAGTCAGAAAAATTCCGAGAGATGGCAGCAGCTACGGAATCACCGCCCAAAGGCGCGTTTCAGTTCACCGACGACCAGGAATATCCCCCGCTAACCCAGAACTCAGACTGAGACATACTCATCTACGTCGCCGGAATGACCTCGCTGCAACTATCAGCAAAAGAGAGGTTCCAACTCACTTGCATTTTTATTTTATTCATCCACCTTATCGTCTGTATGCTGGAAGAGGATTTTGTTCTCGGTGTTTCGACCGAAGTGAATGGGTCTTGTCATTTCGGAAACATTATTAGTGACTTTTAGAACCGCTAAAGGGTACTAAATATTCAGTGTAAACAAACAATACATCATCGATCATTTTTTCGAGTTATACTTTATTTCAAATGTTAAACGATCATTAAATGAATATTTTGTATAGATACGCAACAATTCATTTAAAAATATATAATGAATCAGTTATTAATGAAACATATTAAGTCACCCATTTCCAGAAATTTACATTTTAACAGAAAACCGATGTTTACGCATAGGCGCATCATTTGCTGATGAAACACATTGAGTACTACTACAGATCCTTCACTAACAGACTGTATTTCATTCAGTTTATATATGAAAGATATTAAATTTCCGACTTCATATGTTTCACAACCAATTTGACAACGTTCATCTATCAATTTGACAGAATACATACAACCTCTAACCTAACTTTTGGTTGTGCTAAAGCATTATTGCTGCTTTACATTTGTATTTTAGTAACAAAAATGTGATAGTGAAAGTGTTAAACGGAAGAAGAGAAAAGGTGTACTACACACTGACGAGTATAAAGCCAATAAAATTAAAATTGCAATACTTTCTGGAGCAGAGTATGTTAATTACAAAGGCAATATAGTACGTACCAGAAAAACCGGAAAACTGTGCAGGTAAATAGTTGTAACTTATTTACATAGGCAAGTTATGTTAAATTAGGTTATATTTTAGCTTCAAGATTAAATGCTGGGGTAAAATTATGGAAGAACATCGTCCAGACATTTTGAAGAAAATATATGTCTTCAAGACCAAAAACGAGCAAGATATTTACCTACAGAGTCTAATCGAGTCCATATTCCATACAGTAATTAATAAATTCACTGTTGGGAGTGACCATCGGTTGGTTAGAGCACAAATAATGATCAACATTAGACGAGAGAGGACAGAAATAGACGATAGAAGATAGAGTAGCTTATCAGAATCGCATAACTTTAGAACTGAAAGAAGTAGAACATCTAAATGAAAATGCATTAGATATAGAGGTGACAAACATGCGAATAAATAAATATAGGGAAAAAGGAAAAAACAAGATGGATAAACTCACTCAAGCTACTAAAAATCTTATAAACAAAAGAAGAGAATTGGGAGACAAATACACAGATAATTTTGTAACCCTTAGACAGTTAAACAAAGATATCACAAAATCCATTCGAAAGCTATTGATAAAAATCAAAGTTTAAAGGTTCTGCGCCGACAAATGACTAAAGGATCGAAAAATATTTGTAAACTTGTAAATAAAAAAGGAGAAACTACAACAAATAAGGAAGATATTTTAAAAATTGTTTTAAAGATTTTCACTCAGAATTTTATAAGCGATAAGAACTTCCAGATCCTGTCAAAATCAAATACCAAAAGTTCAAAATGTAGGCTCAGAGGACATGTTCAACTAGTGTCCCATTTTGAAAGAGAAGATAAGCGATTTAAAGAAGACACTTCAGTACTTAGCAGAAGAGCACAATGAATTTTATAATACGTTACAAGACTGGGCAACTCGCCAATAGGGAATAGTTTCTTACATCATCACATGTAATTTAAGTTTATAAAAGCACATAAATGTATTTTGGCAATCGTTTCTGGTTATTTTTTCATGTTTAATAGCTTATTTTTATGTTTTAGCATTTAATTGAAAAATTATTCTTTAACTAAGATTCAAAATTTTGTAATTTTACCCTTGTCATGTTTCATTTAACCCCATTTGTCAGTATTTTATATATTTAAAATAATTTATAACATCTAATCTTCTGGAAACGGTTTTTTGTTTCTCCTATAAAATTTAAGTTTTATGTCTTACTATGTTTCATAAATAACTGATTCAAATACTTAAACATATCCCCGCCATCTTTGTATATACTAGTGAGAGGAAGAGAGGAATTTTTTGTAAAGCTTTGTTTAAATATTGAATATTTCTTAAACTGTTGTCCAGTTATCCTTAAAAATGTGTTACCACCTTAGAACTTGGACTTACAGGCAATTTTCGTAACGACACTCTTATTTTTGATAAATGAATTCAAATATTCAGTTTTATTCCCAATAGGAAATCTCAAAGGTGTGCCCATTACACTCACAGGGACTTTAGAGATATAAATTGAGAGTAAGTTTTGAGATCTATCAATTTATTTAGTTGTAAAATGTACTTTAATGTCATCAGCTGAAAACAATCACTACTCCATATTTCTGCAAAGAATTTTGTTTTTCACATCCAAAAAAAAATACTAATTAACTTTAGAATTCTATTTATAACACTAATTTAGTTTATTAATAAGTACAACTTCAACATATCTCGTTATTTTACACAAACAAAAACCTTACGAAAAAAGTGTCATAACAACTCTGAAATATTTATAAAATAAGATGTTACAGAAACAATGAAATATGTTTTACTTCGATACGAATTACCTCATCGAGTTGTTTTGCTGTTATGTATCTCTCAATGAGTTTTTTAATTGTAAATCCTGTTCGAGGGACCATAAATGCATGAGAAACGTTTACTTTTCAAGTACTCAAATGATACCAAGTGGAAAGTACCACGAAAAATTCTAAAGGCACTTTTGACTGGAAATATTCATATTCTCTCTCTCACTTTAAGCCTAATTAGCTCTAAACGTGCAATCATTTGCTTAAAAACTAATATTAAAGAAAATTGGCTCAAAATGATTAAATTTTAATAACTTATAAACCGAGAATCATTTTTTTAATATTTGAAAGCGTTTGATAACTCGAAAACCATCATTTTTCAAGGTTTCATCAATAATATTCTTTTAAATATTGTTACTTATCACAGAACATTAAGTTTTTTACCTAACAGTATATTTATGCTATTAGGTTAAGTTGCGGTAACTTTTATTGTACTGTGAACGACATATGTCACATTTGACATTGAAAGACGTTTATCTTGTGTTTGTTAATAGCACCTTACTCATCAATAGTCTAGATTCTCAGAGTAAAACCTTAGCTCATATTTTTCATTCTAAAATAATTTAGAATTTTCAAATTATTGTTTGGAGATAAAAAACGCACAATAAGTATGTATTTTTAAATATTTCATAAATAAAATATTTTTCTAGTTTTACCCATTAAAGAAGGAATTGTAATTTTCGCTATTTATATGAAAAATGTATCGCTTACTGAATGCAAATTTGTATGAGTCCTGATACTACCAAGTCTCTGCTTCTGAAGTTCACAGATAATAAAATTATAAATTAGTGTGGGTAACTTATATTAGTAAGTTAAAACAAGATACAAAAAAAACTCTTTGGTTTATTTGATTTTATCTTCCTCTCTCTTTTCTACTTACTTTTTTCTCTCTTTTTTTTTAACTCAATTTTTTCTTCTGTGACATTGAAGTTTTTGTATGTCTCACAGATTTGACATAAACCTTTTTTAACCGAAAGAACGAATAATTAATTTCCTGTGTGTTCTCAGATTCATCTTCAGCCAAGTAAGATGTATCAGATTAATTTGCTATACTTTTTGTGGCGTAAACAGCCTAAACTATTAAAGGACATAAATAAATATAGATGATTATTTATTGCAGAAATGGCACAACTCAAAAAGAGTCACTGTTGAACCACCGAAAGGTTGTGCTTGGACAAGATCTCAAGGCTAAATGAAAATATGTCAATACATATTGCACGCAGTAAGAGACACGATCTGCTTAAAGACACACTGGCACTTGCGCCGCCATCTAGGCGATAATTTAAAAGTTGGAAAAAGCCATTATTACATTAAAAATTTGGTTGAATTGGAAAATTTTGAGTTGTGCCACTATTGCATTCAGCAAGCGATATGAGCTATATTACCTTGAGAACTAGAAATAAATACTTCACACGAAATTGACAAGAATACACTTGGAAAATAATTTATTTTTAATTTAAATATACAATGTAGTTCTATTTTTTAACATTCGTTTAAAGTATTTTAGTGTGTTAGCGCAAATGCAAAAAAAATAATGTAAATTTAAACTTAAAAATCATATCATTAGTCATGTATGTTGGGTTGTCATGAACTGTAGATAAAGTGTTTGATCGATAGATGGCGTTGGCGATCGTGGATAAGAACCGAACTGAAGGCGGTATTAGAGTAATAAATTAAGGTTGATTTTGAGGATCTCTAACGAGACTTAATGATAAATTGTGTTTTGAGGGTGATGCCGGAGAAGAACTTGCTTGTATTTAGACAATATTTCCATTATATCTATAATTTTAATCTATTTTTTTATAAGTGGAAGTTAGTGATTACTCAGACAAAACTAGCAGAAATGACTTAAGTAACTAACCAAATAAAGTCTAAAATCTGCTCATTAATATGAATAGTTTGCAGGCTCTAATCTAGTACATTTTTTCTCCTAAGAATCATTTTGAATTGCCTGTAAACTAGTTGGGTTTTAGTAGAAATATATGTTATGTAGAAATTATGGTGTCGATCAAATTACTTTTCTTGAAAAAGTTCTATAGTATAGGATGACCCAGATATTGACAAACTAAGGTGTTTAGAATTGATTATGACTTATATAATTGTACGTGGCATAAAAATAAACGGTATTTTTTTAAATATTTTTAAAAAATTATAATAAGATGTTATAAAACAAAAAAAAAGGCTGATAAAATTTGAAAATGCTAGAAAACTGTAAACGTGGCTTCGCTGTAAATGAAGTTAGCGCTGTTAATAATTGTTTATTTATATAGGAATAATTGTCATGGTGAAGATCGGTCTGTTTTCGAGAAAAAGTATGTGATATTTTCGGGAAACTAACTTTTTCCGAAACGAGCGCTGAATTGGTTTGTTTAATACAAATTTAAGATTTGGAA